GTTTATATAAGGAACACCATTTTACTATACCATTGTACAATAATGGGACTTGAGCATCCATGGATTTTGGTATTCATGGGAAGACTTGGAAACAAATTCCAGCAGATTCCAAGGGCCCACTTTAGTTTTACAGGGTTCAAAATCTTTGTAGTTTAATAATTTTATTTACTTTTCATGAATACACAGAGAAGATATTTTTGCACAGTTTAATTTTCAAATTTCCTTTGAACATAGAGTTATTTTTAGTCCCTAGTATGTTTTATATAACCTCTGTCAAGGCAACACTTCATACTGACTACACTATTATACACCTTAAAGTGTAGTAAATGTTAATTAATTCTGTAGGACTTTATCCTTTTACAAGAAAAAATTATTTTTGTTTTCCAAGTTCTATCCCAACTATGTTACATAAATATTTTAAGCAATATTCTATGCAGCATCCAATAATTCCATACTACATATAACAGATTTATCATGGTTGAAAGAGAATGCAAGGACCATCTAGTCCAACATGCTGGAGAGTATTTTTTATCTGTTTTTCTGAAAAGCATTTCCACCGTCTTCAGGCAACAACAGACAGTATTTCTGTATGACATTGTGATGTTGTTTCCTGATTAAATCATAGATATAACATAGTATCACATAGGCAAATTATGGGATATTTGGGTGTGTATCAAAAGACGTTCAGAATTTGGGAAACTTCTGCTCATTAAGACTGTTCTCTAAAAGAAAATTTTGAACAAAACTTCTCAGAAGGAGAAATTTAATTAAAACATCTGATTGCAACAGGCATTTTAAAATTTAGATTACTCATTCTTGTCTGTGTATGTGCCTTCAGGGCAGCTTTTGACTTATGGTAACACATGGATTTTATAGGGGTTTCAAAGGTAAAGAATACTCAAGAATGCTTTTGTCCATTTCTTCCTATGCAATACATCCATGTTTTAACTGGGGCTGATGTTGCATAGTACAGGACAGTGAGGACAGGACAGTGGGATGCTAACACTGTATATTACATATATATTAAAATTATGATGTTATATATCTTTTTGCTGCCACCAATTTATTAATAAGGTTTCTTTTGCTCTCACTAGTTATTGATCCATAGGCCACCTCCCTGCTAGAATGTTCAAGAATGTTCAGTCTCTTCAGATGAAATAACACAAGAACATGATGTTTATTTTGTTCTTGAACAGTAAAGATGCGTTGTGGTTTTACTAAACTGCCAGGCTTTACTTTTACAGAGAATGCTTTTATAACATGAATTGTTCCACATACAGGAATACAAACAGGTTGTTTAAAACCTTTTGAATCCTCTTTCCACACAGTCCTCTAAAACTATAGAGGCTCACTATATTTCTTACTCCTTCTCCCTGAAGACTTTAATTACTTTCCTCAAAGAGCAGGCCCATAGCCAGGCCTGAGTTTGATTTGGGGCGGGGGGCTGAGTCTGAGTGAAAGAGGGTCTACCCTAGCAAACCTTTTGTATTGTTACCCCAATACCCCCATGCATGTGGGATATATTGAGCATGGTGATCAGATCATGATATGAATAAACATAACAGTTTAAATAATGTACCAGTAAGGCCTTCTCGCGGACCACCATGAGAATTTCGGGGGGGGGGGGGCTGAAAATTCTGATAAAATTGGCATGCACTGGTACACTACAGTTCTCTGAAATGTAATAAATTAAACAAATGCTTTGATACCCATCTCTTAAGTTTTTAACAACTTTGAACATTACATAAATATTTAATGAAGATTAATAGCTACAGAATTTACTCTAAATAATTTATGTTATGTATCTTAAGTTATGCACTCAATGAGATTTATGAAGAGATGTGTCAATATATTTAGCTTGTGCACACACTTTCTCAAATATTTGTTTAGCAGTATTTAAATATAACTTTAAAATTATTAAATTCAGTCATACAATACAATATATATATATATAGATAGATAGATAGATAGATAGAGAGAGAGAGAGAGAGAGAGAACGAACATTGTGGTAGGGGGAGAGCGATAAGTACAGATTTTTCATGGGATGGATTTTGCATATGACGTTCGAAATAGTGAATTGTAAATTCTATTAGAAATGCCAAGAATATTATTATTATTAACTTTATTTGTACCCCGCTAGCATCTCCCGAAGGACTCGATGCGGCTTACAAAGGCCAAGGCCTCAAAACACAACATAACAATACACAACCTAAAGCAAATTAAAAACAGTTAAAGCAATATTAAACAACAAGCAATAAACAATACACCAGGACACAATAAAACTGGGCCGGGCCAGAGTAAAGGGTACAGATTAAAAGTGTTGATGTGACAAGTGATATATAAGGATTATAGGGTAAGTGCAGTGTGCCTGCAATCTTAATTTCTAATAAAGTGCTTCTGGGACTTGTTGTTGGAGTTTTCCTATTCTGGAAAGGCACATCGGAACAGCCAGGTCTTCAAGTTCTTTCTAAAGAACCAAATGATATTCAATTCTAGGATTATTACTTTGGTGTATGCCTTGCATTTTCTGTGGCCAGTTTGTATTCACCAGATTATTTTAAGTCAGAAGTCAGTGTTTTTTATTTTGAAGAATAACATTTGTTTCAAAGTACAGATTTCCGCATCTTGACCCAATCCATCTTATCTTGCAGTTGTATTATACAATATATATTTTATAGGAGTAAATCTAATTGATTGTTAACTCATTAGAGTATAAGTTTTGGTTTGGAAGTGTCATTATATCTGTATTATTTTTCCATAATGTATTGTAGTATTAACAATTGCTATCAGGTTGTTAAAAACTCTTTTGTGATAACTTGTGCTTTTGTATTACTGATCTAATAAGCTAGATTGAAATCCTATACCTGCTATTGGAAGTAAGTACCATTGAATGCAATGGGATTTACCTATGTGTAGACAGTATAGAATTGTGTTGTTTATTTAGGTATCAAAAAGCCCTTTATAGACCTTTTCCTGTGTAGATATTTTTATCAGAAATAACATCCCTCACAGTTCCTTACAAATATGAAGAAGCCAGTTGAGAAAGCCAGGGAGGAAAATTGCTTGTCTATCTAACTCTAAACAATGTTACTTTCTGTTTGCCATGTAAGGTTGTTTGGATAAATGATCAGATTTTTTAAAAAAAATCTTACCTAAATTTTAAAGAAAAAAAGTAATTGATACGGTTCTATTTCATTCCCTAATGACTATAGTATTGCTAGAAGTCATAGGAAATAACTAGGATTAATAAGCTTTGCCCATCTCAGAAATGCAGGGGCAGCAAATGATATCATTTAAGCAAAGGGAACAAAGTAATTAAAAGACCAGTGATTTTTGTTACATGTATATTTTTGGGGTAAATAAAGACAATAGCTTTTCAGCTTCAGTGCTGATAAATTTATTTATTTATTTATTTAAAACATTTATATTCTGCCTTTCTCACGCCGCAGGAGACTTATGGCGGAACACAACGTATATATGGCTAACATTCAATTCCGGGACATGAAACTATAACTATACGCAAACATTAAAATCACTTATATCTACTTTTAAATCAGCTGTTTAAAACCATCTCAAGACACCATGCTGGCTCTGGTCAGTGGAGTAGTTTCCTATTATTGCCTCATTGCACGGAGTAGTTTCCTATTATTGCCAAAGGCTTCGTCCCACAACCAGGTCTTTAGCATCTTTTTGAAGGACAGGAGAGAGGGTGCTGATAAATGATAAAGATAAATGTCTTCTCTAATAACACAGATATCTATGAATCAGTTGTAAATATACAATTGTCCTATTTAAATAAGCTTCAACATAGATACAAGTTTAAGTAACTTAAATAGTGAAACACACAAAATATATACGGTTTACAACATAATTTCATAGGACATATACATCAATGAATATATCAAACTTAAAGGCAGTTCACATTGTGTTTAGTACATTTGAGAATATGTCCATGATCTTACACCAAAAGTTCACGTTGTATTCCACAAACTTGAGAGTATCAAAACTGGAAACAGTTCGTGTTGCTTTCAGCCAACTCGGGAGTCCACAACAAGGTTCCCCGGGTGCTTTTGTGTCCTTGTTTCAAGACCAAAATTCTCTTCTTCAGGCTTCTTTCATTAAATCAAAGGTAATAGTACTTCTGTGGTTTTTACTAAATTTAGAGAGGACAAAATAATAGATATGCTAAGTGGCACCCAGTTATATTTTGACAATTCTTATATAAACAAAACAAGGAAATTTACTTACATTAAAAGCATCAATGGCTCTGCAAAAAAACTTCAATAAAGTGTAGTCTGTTTCTGCTTTTAATTGCGAGCAATAAGATACAAGAGGTTACTCCTTTTTAAGGATATCAGTTCATTACTGGTGATTACAGAAAGCATGGACATATTCTCAAATGTACTAAACACAATGTGAACTGCCTTTAAGTTTGATATATTCATTGATGTATATGTCCTATGAAATAATGTTGTAAACCGTATATATTTTGTGTGTTTCACTATTGAAGTTATTTAAACTTGTACCTATGTTGAAGCTTATTTAAATAGGACAATTGCTTCTTTACAAAAGATAAATGTCTGCCAGTATAATTGTTTATGAATATAGGTTGTAAAACTCAACATTATGTGTACTGGAGAAGGAAACTTCTGAAGAAATAGATTTCTCTTTTACTCCGGTTTGCTGCCACAGTTATATGTAATAATGCATTTTAATCCCCAGCTGCTGGTGATGAAGTGTCTTGATGTGGGAAGAAACAATATTCTGAATGAATAACAGAAACTTAAGTAGATGGCATAAATAAAATGGGGGCTTATCAAAGATTCAAACTTCAATGAAAATTCTACAGTATTTTCTTCCAAGTAGAGGGAATGTGTAAAGTTGTTGCCATTTTCCTTATTGACAATGTTTAAAATGTCATAACAGATTTTGATTCTGCTTTCACTGTTATTTGAAATTCTTATGCATTTTGCCTAATCTGTTGCATTACTTCTCCACAGGAAATATTTGAATTGAAAAAGAAGAGTGAGACCTGTTCTTGGAACTTATTTCTTTTCTTTTTCTTTCTTTTCTTTGTGAGAAGAAGAGCTACACATCTGACTATGGGGAAAACAGCAGCTAAAGGTAAAGTTGTGGAAGCAAAAAAAAAAAGAAAAAAAAAGAAAGAAAAAAAGGGGAAAATACTGTAAGGTGGTGAATGCAATTGCTCCTATATGTCCCTTCCAATGGAGTGGATCCAAGTGATCCCCGTTGTGGTGGTGATGATGAAATGAGTGGAACAGAGACTACAGCCTTAAATGGCTTAAATCTCAGAGTACACCTGATGGTGTGTGGGGTAAAGCACAGTGGAAAAACCTATTTAAAAGCAGAATGGAGTTCTTTCAAGTGGTGAAAGATCTTTTACTTTCTGACCTACAGGAGCACGACACTTTGCAGATAAAGTTGTTTGAACTAGACAGGGGAAATCTGTCCCTGTTGGGTGTGTGCTGCTGAACCTTTCAGTGAATTTTGATATCAGTAATCATGGTAGCCATCTGAGCTGCCTTGGTGACTTGGGAGCAGTATTCTGTCGTTCCCATCCACCTTGGAGGGAAAAACTCAGAACGCAGTGCTGGGAGATTCCTAGTCAACCCCATCGCTGTTAGGCTGCAGGGTTTCTCAGGGTTTAATTTTGTCTCCCTTGCTATTTAATGCTTACACAGACTTGCTGGGAGGGGATCTCTGGAAGTTTGAAGTATGCTGATGATATCCTGACTTTTACCTTTTCTTTTCATCCAGTTCCATGAAAAATGTATCTGCACTAAACCAGTGTCTGCTGTCCATATCAAAATGAGTGAAAGCAAACAAATTGAAACTTAATCCAGACAAGATACATATGCTCCATTTTAGGGAATCAAAATTTAGTGTACGTTGGATGTGTTTACACCATTACCACCCCTAGCAAAAATCTCAGGTTTGCATCTTGGGCATGCTTCTGGTCTCAGATATGAGTCTGGATGCCCAGGTTTCAGCAGTGGCCGGGAGTGCATTCGTGGCTACTAAAATTGGTGTTCTGTTAATTTGCCAGGTACTCCCATTTCTTGAGATGTTATATCTGGCTATGATGACACATGCCTTGATTACTCCCCATTTGGATTAACGTAACACACTCAACGTGGAGTGTCTTTGGAAATTCTTTAGAAACTCCAACATATCCAAAGTGCTGGAATCAGGCAGCTGACTGGTGCAGGATATAGATCAATCATATAACTCTATAGTTCAAAGAACTATACTGGCAACAATCGATTTCTGGACAAAATTCAAAGTACTGGCAATGATCTTTAATGCTTGGATCCATATTGTTGGGAAAAGTGTATATTCCTATATTTGTCTGCCTGTGTTGTACAATTTGCAGGTAATGGCCCACCACCATCCCAGGCATGTCTGTTGAGGGCAGGAAAAAGTTATTGATGGCTGCTCCCAAGTTATGGGACTTGCTTTCCTGGGAGGTCCAGTTGCCCCCCCCCCCCACCACATCTTTCCACCAGGCCTCTTTATTTAAGGAAGTTTTAAACTTTTTTTATTGATATGCAGCAACATAAAGGATGGCCACGGTTTTAGCTATAAGGTTTTAACAGGCTTTAACACGTTATGTGTTTGTATATTTATTTTGTTGATGTTTAATGCATTGTATTTTATATATTTTTGTATTGCAATGTGGCACTGAAGTGGCCAATCTGTAAGCCTCAATGAGTCCCCTCTGAGTGAGAAGAGCAGGGTATAAATATGGGAAATAAATGACATTCACAAGTTGTATGGCGCTCTTTTTAAGAGGTGTAGAAAACAGCAGGAAGAGAGCACATGGGAACAGATCTTCCTCTTCCTGAATACCACTAGTGTCTGCTTCTCTTGGAGAAAGGAAAACTGGCACTAGTTGAAACAGAAACATGTGGCATACCTGCCTCCTAAACAGCCTTGACCCCGCTCATCTCCTGAGTATGGGACTGTCATGGCAGTCCCATCTTCAGGAGCCAGATGCATCAAAGGCATTCCTCTCCTCTTCCCATCTCCTGAGGACTGAATAAGCTTGTGAATAATCAAATTTGCAAGTGTGAAAGGGATGACTGTACTTTTTTAACTTATTAAATGTAATGTGAAATGAAATTGGGTGGCAAGTCATCACACTTTCTCAACCTGAGAGGAAGACAATGGCAAACCTCCTCTGAACTAATCTTGCTAAGAAAACCTTGTAATATGATCACTGTAAATAACAAATTACTTGAAGACACATAGCAACAATTTGGATTGATTTGAATGGGAAATCTGTGGAGACATCTAAGATAGCATTTGTAGTTCCTATCATTGCTTCCTATCAAGCATGTTCCTAAACATTGACAACTAGTTATTATTGCTCATAATAATTTAAATATTCTGCATAGTATATCAAAGTATGTTAAATGTGAGTTGTTTGATTGTTGTTTTTTAGATTCTAAGACTGTTAAAAAAGAAAAACATGGGAATAATAATGTGTCAAGCAACCAGTTGTTTCACAATGGTATGTATTATAAAGACAATTAATTGCTTTTTGAAAAGAAGTTTGTGTGGATCCCTCCCTGCAGAATAATTTTTTGCTTCTTGCATCCCTTTTGTGCCTCTTCTTGTTTTTGGACAATTATTCTTTCTCAGCTTCAAATGATGTGCATGACATTCACAAGCCATATGGAGATCTTTTCAAGGGGTGTAGAAGACAATAGGAAAAGAAGGGAGATATCAAAGTGCCTCAGATAGTATTCAGCTGTTGTAACCTTTGATTCTAACTCATTGGGTCTTAAAAAAACTGACAAAATATTTCAATTTTGACTGATGTTGATTATTTTCACTTACTCCAGCATATTATATGGTTGTAACTAGCAAACATTTCATACTCTCTATTCAATTTTCAGTATGTTCCTTTGCTGCTTGTCTATAACATTTAGTTTTGTTTTTTATGTTTTCTGCTGATGGAGAAATTAAACATTTAAAATTTCATTTTCCTTTGTAATTCCATGATGTTAAGGATATTATTGAGACAGCAGTTGACATTTTTATCATTTGATATATTACTGTAGTCTTATATTTAATGTTGATGCTTGCCTCCTTGAATTCAGAAAAGACACACATATGGTAGTTAGGCAGACAGTTGCAGTAGATGTGCTTAAACAAAAGCATTGACTTGTGAACAAAGTTACATATTGTTTAGTGATCAGCAATTTGACTAAGCTTTTTTTTCATATTGTCTCATGAAGCCATAGTGTATGTTGGAAGAGGACAGACAAGTCAGGTCATAGAAATCAGGACATTTTAAGTAATGAGTTGTGTGTGGGTGGGAGAATAGGAAATCTGATACACTTATAATGGAGAACATAAAATTGGGGTTAGAATCTTGTGGAGCTCCATATTTTGTTATGTCACCAAAGTGTAACTCAGAGTTTCTCATTGCTGGCTGACAGTTTTATGGAGAGCACAAACACAGGGTCTTTTTACACTGTGCAATTTGAGTGCAATGATTTCACTTCAACAGCATAGAATACTTTCCACAATTAAAGTGGAATCATAATGCTACAGTTGTGTTAAAGTGTGAACAGGCCCATCATAAGAGTCTAATGGCATCTTAAAGACTAACAAGTTTTATTTGGTGTAAGAATATCAAGCAGCATGTAGGGCATGATGTCCTTCTACCTTTGATATGCTTTTGAAGCCTTTTCTTTTGGTGGTGGATTATTTTTTTTAACACATTGTATTTTACTATTGTAATAATCTGTTTTTAGCTATTTTATAAATCATATATTTGCTTTTTGGGGTCTCTTATTATATTAGAATATTTAGGTGGTGCAGAGATAAAATAAATTGAAGATTAATTTAAAAAAATTAAGCATTATGTCATCAGCTTTTGTTTCCCAGTAATTGGAGAAAAGCTGAGATTATATAAATGAATAAATATAAAAGAGGAAGATTGTTTTTATAAAGAGAAGCATTTCACATGCATTTAACTAGGCAGAGTTCTCAACTAACTAAACTACAAAATGTTGCCACATATCTGTCTTTAGTCTCAGATAGGAATGCTGCTGTTCAGGATTTTAAATAGCTAAAGCTATCTGAAGTTAGGTATGTGTGAGGAGATTTCTAAACCTTTTTCACTTCTGAAAACCTTGGTGTTGTCCCAAGCATATTGATACTCATCTTTCTTTCTGAGATCTGATTCACACTACACAACTATAGTACTTGGATACCACTTTAACTGCCATGGCAGTTGAAATAAGATTATGCACAAAACTGAAATAAGAGAATGCATAAAAAGTATAGACTTACTACAAAAGAGACAAAACTTCTATTCCCGAGTTTGTTTGTTTATTTATTTACTATATTTATATCCCACTCTTCTCGCCCCGCAGAGGACTCTGAGAGGCTTACAGGTTATGGCAAAATTCAATGCCACATTATACATACAAATAATAAATATAACATTTCAAATAATAAAACAGTTAAAAATATAACTGCAATAAAACAGATTTAAAACATAGTTTTCCAATCTTCCTCCCCTCACAAGCCAAACATAAGCCTGCTGGTCTTTTGTGTTATTACCATGGGGTAAGGCGATATAAAATGCTAGTGTAGAAGACTACAGGATTAGGGTACAGGTGCCACAATTAGGATTAGGGTGCAGGTTCCACAATTTTAAAACACAAGATCTTAAAATGCAGGAGTGCTAAGGTTTAAATTGTGAAGTAAAGTATTTGATACCAATACTCAATGTCCAGTTTAGAGTGGAATTCACTGACCAGACCACAATGATGAAACCCAATTAAAACCTGAGTGGACAGTAGTCAAAAGAACTCTGGGATGATATCTAAGGCCAGATGGAGAGAGCCCTCAGGTACAGCCCTGGTGGCACCTAAGGCAGCAGAGGGATGATGGAAAAGACCCTGGAACAGCTGAGACAGCTGCATTCAAGTAGTGCTAGATATAATGAGGCGCTGCTGCTGGCTTCATGGTCTCCTTGTGGGTAAGCCCAAGGCTGAGCAAGGCAGCAAAACCGGATGGCAAATACTCAGACCCCAGGCTCTCTTCCAGGCCTTTAGGTCAGTCCTTTTATGTTCTCTCCTTGGAAGCTGCTGGGTCAGATGGCTAGAATGAGGATATGGCTGCAGGTCTCCTCGTGGGTAGGTCCAAGGCAGAACAGGCAGCAAAGCTGCATGGCAAATAGCCCCCCTCCCTCCATAGGGTCTCTCCTGCAGCAGAGCCCAACAAAGGTCTCCCAGGCCTCTAGGTCAGTCCTTTTATGTTTTATCCTTGGATGCTAAAGCTTTCTAAAGCTATCTAATATTAGAAGAACTAGGAAAGGCAAACTATGGAAGCATAGTATTTTTAGTTCTTCTTTGTGGTGTCTGTGAAATCACACATATGGGTCTAGATCTCTTAAGCTGAAACATTTTGGCAGTAGCCCCACCCACTCTCCCTATACAGTATAAATGCTCATGGGCAGAGACAGAGCCTCAGTTCCTTTTTTTCTGCTGCTACGAACAGTTTGGAACCTTTCTTGTATCTCTTTCATGCTCTTCTAACAGTTTTAATGGCTTGACTCAGACTGTTTCTGACTATCGCTTTTGTCTCTCCTGCTACCCTCTCGGCTTGACTTGGACTACTTTCTGGCTACACTACCCTCTGTCTTCTGTCAGCCCCATCTCAGATCTCTCTGACTACGCTACTGGATTACCCTCAGGTCAGTTCTCACCCGTTAAGATATCCTCCACATCCTTTTTTAAGAAGTGTGGGGCTTGCGGAGGCAAACTCCCAGATTTTGATGAACACACCACGTGCCTGCTGTGCCTAGAAGAAATCAATATGCCTCAGTCTTGCCAGATCTGCCAAGCCTTTACTCCCCAAGTGTGCCAGAATAGGGAGTCTTGCCTCAAAGCCTTGTCCCCCTCCCCAGCTTCTTGCCCAACAAAGCGCCTGGGCTCTGAGCCACTGGCCATGCCATCAGCCCTGAGGGCGCAGGACTCTGCCTGATGGCTTGGGGGATCAGTTCATGTTCCGCCTCTCCAGTGTGGTGGAACTGATAATTGAGGCAGCACAGAAAACCTCTACCAAGTGGGCCTATGTGTATAAACGGTCCCACTTCTTGACATTTTCTTCACAAACCAGACTTGACCCATTCACCATTCCAACACTGGTAATCCTGAACTTTCTAGTGTACTTATCAAAGACGAGTCTCTCCCCTCTTATTTCTCAAGTGCTTCTTAGCAGCAATATCTTGGTATAGGAAGAAGGTGGAAAGTTCTTCCTATTTCCTGGATCCCCTAATTCATCTTTTTCTGAAAGGTTACAAAACATACCCTCTCTACTGTGTAAGCCACCTTTTGAGCCTATGGCTTCCAATGATCTTACCCATCTCTCTTGGACGACCACATTTTTTGTGGCTAAACGTGCCAGCAAATTCTGTGTCCAACGCCCCTTACCTGCGTTTCCATAGAGATAAGGCAGTACTCCGCACAGATATTACCTTCCTTCCAAAAGTAGTGTTGTGCTTCCACATGTGTCAAGACATTACCTTTCTGGCTTCTTCTAAAACTCAGCCTCACCCCTAGAAGTAGCTCTCCACTCCTTGGATGTCAGGAGGGCCCTGGCCTTTTACATATACAGGACAGCTACCTATAGGAAGTCTCTGAGACTATTTCTAAAATATCACAAGGATGCCCTGAGCCTCCTGATATCTTCACAAAGACTGTCATCCTGAATTTCTCAATGATCTGCCTTGCATACCAACTGGTGGGACAAGATCCCCCACAGCAGGTGAAAGCCCACTCTGCGAGAGCAATGACTATCTTGCAGGCCTTCCAGCCGTGACATGGTACACACCGCTCACATTTGCCTCCCACTATAAGCTGGGTGTCTTGCCATGGAAGGATGCTCAACAGAGCTGTGTTGTTTTCCTGCATGGCATGAGCCATCTCCACAGATCAGTAGCTTTGTAGTCACTCATATATGTGTGTTTTCACAGACACCACTAAGAAGAAGGAGTTGCTTACCTGTAACTGGGTTTCTTCAAGTGGTGATCTGTGAAACTGGCACATTCCTACCCATCCTCCCTGCTTGATCATGCCTTTACTTCCTGGCTGCTGTCTTAGTGGCTAGGGAACTGGGGCCCTGTCTCTATCCATGGGCATTTATACTGTATGTGGCGAGTGGGCAGGGCTACCGCCAAAATATTTCAACTTAAGAGATCTAGAAGGTTCCAAACAGCTGTGCACATGAGCAGAAGACCCATATGTGCAAATTTCACAGATCACCACTCGAAGACACATAGTTACAGGTAAGCAACTCATTCTTGTATGTGTTATTTAGACTTCTTTGCAAACTTCAAATCTCTTGTTTCCATACAGCTCTTGCCACGACAATTAAAATGGTATCAAAGTGTTAAACATGTTCAAAGCAAGCTTACTACATTCTTGAAACTAACAGGGAGAAAGACGTTTTCAGCATAAGGTTTCATAGTTCACTATGAAAGTTTATTATGTGGACTTTCTCCCTAGTTAGTATCAAAGTGTCAGCTTTGAACATAAATTAAGGAAAATATATTTAAAAAATTCATACAGATAATACAGATACATCAATATAGAAAAATGTTATTGTGTATCTTTCTGGATAACTCATGTAAATGTCAAAATGAAGAAGAAAGAAATTGTAAAAGTAAGTTCCCTTATTCAGGTTTAATAAAGAGAAAGGAGGTAACAACTATATTCCGACTCAAGCAGGCTGTCTTTCAGTTCCTCTAAAGGTGAACAGTTTTCATGTCCCGATTTTGCTGGATTCCAAAATGAGAATACATAACCTCTGGGCACAAAAAGCAGTGACCTTGGTGGTGATCACTAGGGCAAAGAATAGGCTTTCATTTGAACTCCTGTTTCCACAAGAAGTTCCTAGATGCTCTCCTTCAGAATCTTGAGATATAATGGATCATATGCATGGGTTACATAAGTAGAAGATAAGGTAATGCTATCTGATCATTGTGTTGTTTCAAAAAACACAAAGCCATACTTGGAATATGATATTAGTTGTACGAGTTCATGCAATCCTTTCATTTTTGTCAGCTTAAGAGGGAAGTCAGTGCTTGGAATGTCCTTTTATGAACTTTTAGTAAGTTATTGCACGATAGTAAACATAGCCACTAGATGGCAACACAGTATCATTTTGGAGGTTGGATTTTTTTTATTTGCTTGAAACAGATTTCCATGGATATGTTGGAAATTGTGTGTATTATGTGGAGGCCTGGAGAAGGTACATGGATTATTTGCATAAGCATGGATTTTGTGACTCAGGAACAACCGAGATACTCTGTTTGTAATCATATCTATCTGTAGTCAGCAATGAAGGAAGATTGTTATTACTAAATAACATAATCATCATCAGACATTGATGCTGGCTGTCTCGGTCCTCCTGTTGAAGATTAGTTGAACTTTATTTAGTAGCAGTTTGAGAAATCTTTTTTTATTTCCTGCATTTCAGGAGTTTGGACTGGATGACCTGTGTGGTCTCTTCCAAATCTGTGATTCTGAGTCTATGTTTTGGTTCTTGGACCACAACGTACAAATTAATGAAATTACTTCTGCTCATTTTACTAGAAATGTTTATGAAATAGTGGCATATAAATTGAAACCTGATTAACTGAAAGTAAATGTGTATATTTGATAACATTTAATCCAGTGCAAGTGAAAAATCTTGTTAAAATGCTTTATCCTAGAATATTTTAATTGGGACGATTACTTGAAAGAAACTGGATCTGTAGCTGCTCCTTTACATTGTTTCCGTCAGGTAGGAATTTTAAAGATACGAAATATGCATGCATTATGTTTGTTTCAGATGCCTTTTAGAATATAATACATGGAGAAATACATACTTTCTACTATAGTTGTTTGATATATTTGCTCATATCTAATACAGTATACATGAGCATTTTAAAAGATTATACACACACACATACAAATGTTTATACACATTTAGAAAAATATATCCATTTTTATAAAGTCATTATCAGTCATTAAATGAAATTATTTATAGTGATCTTAAATTGCATTTGATACTTGTTTCATTACTTAGCTATTGGAAAATCCCAGGATGCCAGGAATATTTATGGACTAGAAACTATTTTATCTGTTTAATTGTAGGGATAGATTCAAATATTATCCTGAAAATTTAAAACATATGGTAGCCAAAAAACTCCTAGATTATCAAGACAGCAAGTCTAAACAATTAGAGAAATGCTGATGGTTCTTTTTTGGAAAAATTGACCAATCAAATGCCTCATCTTCCCTTTCATTTAGTCTAGGATTCCGCCTAGCAATGATTTCAAAGTAGGAATGAAACTGGAAGCTCATGATCCTCGCAATGTTACCTCAGTATGTATAGCCACAGTTATTGGAATCACGGGTGCCAGGTTAAGATTGCGGCTTGATGGAAGCGACAACAAAAATGATTTCTGGAGACTAGTAGATTCATCTGACATACAGCAAATTGGAACTTGTGAGAAGAAAGGGGGAATGCTGCAGCCTCCATTAGGTAAGATCAGACTGATCTTAACAGGCATGCTGTTATAGTCTGGTTTAAAGCCATTGTTGCTCAAAGATGCAAACCACAAAATAACCACAGCTAGATTTCAAGAGAATCAAAACAGGATTAAATGTTATGGATTATATCCAATGACAACTTCATACCATACAGTCTGGGGAACACTCAACTATTAAATATCATAGACACCAATGTTGGAGATTTGGCTTGTTTGTTTTACAGATAATCTTCACTGTTTTATTTTCTGCATATCTCTTCATTGAAGAAATAATGAGGGGAATTAGCCACAGTTTACCAAACTGAATCCAACAATAAACACACCCACTTGTCCAGCATAGTGGTCACCCTGAGGCCCAAAGATGCAGAGCCTGGGGAATTATAAGAGTAATAGGGCAAATATTGTGATAAGAATCCAAGAGTTGGAACTGTGAAGTTGATCTGGAGTTCATTCATGTTGCACAAATAAACTGCTATATTCCACTCCGGAGCCCCTGGTGACACAGTGGGTTAAAGCGCTGAGCTGCTAAACTTACTCACTGCAGGTTCGAATCCGGGGAGCGGTGTGAGCCCCAGCTTCTGCCAACCTAGCAGTTCAAAAACATGCAAATGTGAGTAGATCAATAGCTACTGCTCTGGCTGGAAGGTAATGGTACTTCATGCCAGCCACATGATCTTCGAGGTTACTACAGACAACGCTAGCTCTTTGGCTTAGAAATGGAGATGAGCACCAACCCCCAGTTGGATACAACTGGATTTAATGTCAGGGGAAAACCTTTACTTTATTCCACTTTAGTTGCTATTGCAATATCCTGTGGAATTGTGGACTTTGTAATTTAACGAGCTACTCAGTTCTGTGGCTGAGAATTCTAAATGCCCCTCTAAACTATAAATCCCAGGATTCCATGGAATGTTGCCAAGGCAATCAAAGTGGAATATAATACTATAATTGTATAGAATGAATGAATCTCTGGAAGTAGAACTAGGGATGAAGCTCTATAAAAAAGATATAGGGATCCTAAATAATGTATGCTCGGATGTGTGTATCTGTTAACAACTGCGGTGGGAATATGCAAAAGCAACACAGTTAAAATCAGTTGAAATAATTTAAAGCAAAATGCAAACACCTCAGCCCCTCGGTTTTCCTAAGGGATCTTTGACATCGCTGCATGGCTCCTTGATCTTTTGACATTAAATCTGGTTTAATTTTTTCTTTACTTCACCTTACTTTCCTCCTCTGTCCAGCTTTCCTCTGCTAATTAAGTGTTGAAATCTGGGTTGCAAGGTTTCTGGACAGAGTTTACAAATAATGAAATTAATAACTTGTTTCAATTAGCTTCTCATATGTTAGGCAGTAGTTACAGTTATGTACATCAAGGCTGTAATGAAATGAAAAAAATCATATGTATGACAGAACTAATACAAAGAAGAAGAAAAACCTTGTTGACAGTCATAGTTATTGTCATAGAAAAAGAAAGCTAATAAAATAAAAGTAAAACCAACTATGAATTTGTAATTAATTTAGTAAGCTTAATGAAATGTAGTCAATGTTAGTGGGCTGTTTTGTGGTTTTCCAGTGAAAGGACAAGCTATAGTTTAGAGACAAGACTGCTTGAATGTAAGTTTTGTTAATATTGTCCATTAATTTAATTTTCTGATTATTATCCTTGCAATAACATTTTCCAGATGTTATTCAAAACATTTCATTTTTGTACTATCTCTACCCTTTTGCTGAACTAGCTTTAAAGGCAAGCATTTCCTCCTACTTAGACAATTGTTATATACTGCTCAGTTTCACAAAAAAAAAAAATGTGTATGGAAGAATCTTTCAAAGAGATGCTTTCGAAAAAATAGGTTATATTTCAGTTTTGTGTTTTCTGAAAATATGCAGAATATATTTGTGAAACATTTCTGTTGGCAGTCTTACAGCACGTTGTTCAGTAGGTTAAGCCAGGAGCTAATTGTGTGTATAATTGCCTCCTGCTTGCTTTATATAAAACGGGTCTTTCCCAAGTGGTATGGAACCTTCTGGTCCCAACAGCTATTCCTCTTGTTATATAATAGAAAACAAAATGCTCATTTTCCACCTAAGTTGACATGTACTGAATTACATTCCCAAGCATAGTGCCAGATTCTTAGCAGTATTCAGTTATGGTTTCTAGCCTCATAGTGGAAGGGGTTTCAAAGTGTCTATGTAGGCTTATATTCTATTTTTGATTAAAATGTATCATATGGAGATAATACTACTAAAGGAAGCTCTCTGCTTCATAAAATATGTATTTTGAAAATCTATTGTGTCTACCTACTCCATTGTTACCAATGTAGGGTTCCAGATGAATGCTTCGTCTTGGCCAATGTTTCTGCTAAGAACGCTAAATGGAGCTGAAATGGCACCATCGTCGTTCTTTAAGAAGGTAAGAAACCATCCAGGCCTCTCTAGCAAGGAAAAGGCAGACAGTCATTTCTAACAGTTAGGAAGAGAAGAATTCTGTCATTTCAGTTTGGTACGAATGTGTGAAATATTTCTGTCTCATAACGTGCAGTGATCCTGTTTGTACTTTGATAGTCTACACAAATATAGCATGTTAATTCCTCTGTGATGATCTAACTTTGCCAATTGTTCATGTAAAATAATCAAATAATGAATTGTTTAGAGAATGTATTCAGTCCCTGCCCCCCCCTCCAACAATTAAAACTGCATTTTAAATATGTAAAAGAAACAATCCTGTATGACATCTAAAACTACTTCTCAGCAATTGTGCAACTCGAAATCTTTGCTATATCTTTTTCATATTGAATTCATGGTCAAAAGTGACCAGTCATGGATTTTCTATTTCAAATTTTGTATCATGCAAATGAAGAGTTTTCTGTGCCCAGTATAGAAGAGAAAACAGATGTGTCTCTATCCTTTGGGATATAGCATTCCTTATTTTGTTGCCGTGGATAGATTTGTTTTTGGGTATTTAGAGTTTCTTCCATTATACAGGGAAAGCAGAGTGGTGGGAGGGAAGCAATAAGACAATGGGTGAAAAACCCGATATGAAGACAGCTCAAAGGAGTAATGAATTATACCAGGTAAATGCCGAATGGAAGGTTATGTGAAAGGATAGGAGTCAAAAGTAAAACAGGCACCATACTGCAATATGCAAAAATGTTTCACATCACAAGCAAAATACTCTCCTTCCTATATGTCAGAAATACTCTCAACCTTGCTATTCCATTCTTGATAGTTCTCACCTGCCCTGGAGCTGAAATCATGTGTGTTTGCCTTTTATGAAACAAAGGTAAATAGAATTGGAGACTTATAAAACAGAGTACTTACTTTTGCTTATTTGTGGTCTACATAAAATAGCTTTACATAACAATATTAGCTCTTTCCCACTACATTTGCAGACTAACTGAATAAAACAAAACAAAGCAAAGCAAAGCAAAAAAGCCCAGGGAGGAGGGCAGAACAACACTCCACCATGGTAGCAATTCATCATTTTCACATCCATTGAAGTCACATTATGCAAATTTGAATAGCTCTATAAAAGAGTCTCCTGCTAGGTTACAACTACACTTTTCGGTATAATCTTGACGTTTCTAAATTATCTGTTCATGGCGTTTTTGGACATTGGCAAGTGTAATGTTAAAAGCTGTTATGTCTATTTAGGAAAACTGGAAATTCTACTCATTTACTCACTAACAAGAGACTAGAAAGTTATATTATTTTAATTTATTCTTCCCCCTAGCAACTAAGGGAAGAATAAATATCTTCTCAAAATACAATACTTTCATTTCTTGCATTTCTTCTTCTCTATAATCCTCTACACTTTCATAAAAATTGTAATTTAGTTTGAAAGTATTTTCGTTTCAATGCAGAGATTTGGGTTGCAAGAGACGAAAATAAAAATATTGACATTATTTCCAATCCAGTGTTGTGTTTTGAAGCATAAACATTAGTGGGCAACAAGATTGTGTAAAACATATATTCTTAATTTCATATGTACATTCATGTTCGGATCTTCCAGTGTGCCTTCCCAGAAAGAGGAATCCTGGAAATATGTCCTCAATGCACTTTATGAGAGATTTAGAACTGTCTGCACGTACACCCTTCCCAAAACGTTCCTCCACCCCCTTTAAACTTCCCAGCTTTTAACTTTTAAAACTTTTACATTTGGCCCTGCCTTAGGTTTTTAAAATGCGTTGTGTCATTATTGTATTGTTTTGCTTTTTGAGTTATTTATCATTGCTGTTGTTGTTTTTATAATGTTGTTGGGCTTGGCCTCTTGTAAGCCGCACCGAATCCTGCGGGAGATGGTAGCGGGGTATAAGAACAATAAATAAATAAATAAATAAATAAATAAATAAATCTTCTTATTTTGATAGGAACCTCCCAAGCCAACTCCTAACTGTTTTAAAGTTGGAATGAAGTTGGAAGCAATAGACAGAAAAAACCCGTATTTAATATGCCCAGCAACCATTGGGGATATTAAAGGAGATGAAGTTTTTATTACTTTTGATGGCTGGCGAGGGGCATTTGACTACTGGTGTAAATATGATTCGCGGGACATCTTTCCTGTTGGATGGTGCAACTTAACAGGAGATGCTCTACAACCACCAGGGAACAGTGGTAAGAATTTTTTATTTGTTAAAATGCTAAAGTTCAAATTCAGTAGGTGTTTATTAAGTTTTAAGGCTGTGAGGTTGTGGATTGAATTCAGAGCAGAGCTTAGGAATTTTACCTTTTTACCACAATTTTTGGAACCACCCACTGGCCATGTTGTGTAGTTGAAAAATCATGGTTTCTAAGATCTGATCCAGATTTAGTCATACTTAGAGAATCAATTAAAGTTAGACCAGGCACCCTCAAACTGCAGCCCTCCAGCTGTTTGGGCCTCCATCTCCCAGAAGCCCTAGCCAGCTTGGCATTCTGGGAGTTGGGAACCCAAACAGCTGGAGAGCCACAGTTTGAATATGCCTGATGTAGATGAATTGTGAGTAACATACGTTCCAGTGGAATCAGTGTCTTTTCTGAGTAAGTCTGAGAAAGTAACCATAACAACTTGATTAAATTAGCAAGGAAACACTTGAGGAAAAAATGTGTTTATTCTGACAATTTTCACATAATGGTGCACTAAAAATCTAAATACACTGAAATATTCAAGAATTTAAGTCCCCTGTACGGTGTTGAATTAAATGTGCTCCATAATGTACACTAATGGAATACTGTCAGCTTGTATTTATCTACTCAGAAGTCAGACATACATAGTGCTTACTTCCTCACTAAATGGTTGTAGGATTACAGTATAAAACAGTGCAATATTACACATTTGTTTCTTACATTCATAATTCTACCTTTCCTCCAGTGAGGCCAAGGCAGTATGCATGGATGCTTCACTCCCACTTTATCCTCATAACAAATCTGCAAAGTAGGTCTGGTTGAGAGAAACTGGCCAGACTGAAGTTATGCAGTTAATTTTTGTGACATTAAGGTTAGAAAATTATGGTTTCCCACTACATGTAAACTAGTGGCACACTTTAGAGGAAAACTACCATAATACTTGTTAGTGGCCCACTAACGAGCAACATTGAATGAAATGTGGGAGATCAAGTTTTTGCTTTATGAATCATATGGCACTTGCATGCTCCTTGACTCTGTCCTCCTTTTTAGCACTTATGAAAACAAATTTCAAAATTCCCCTGATAAGGTGAAAACTGGTTTCAGAATCTAATTTGATTAATTCACCATCATTTAAACATGACATTTCATTGAGTTCAGAAAACATGGAGAACTGATTTCTTCTGTGCATCTGAATAAATGGATAGAAATCCATAAAAGCTTGTGTTAAAATAAATAATTGCTGCCAGTAGATTCCTTCTTCCGCCATATTTCCATTTTTATGGTGAAACATCCTAGCAACTATTTCAAGAAGTTCCAAACCAAAGCCAATCTTGGCATAGTAGCAAATGATTGTGTTTCACATATTTCTTTGAAGACGCACACTTTATAGTTAATAGTCCTTGGGATGCTTGTGTTTTCTGCTCATTGCGTGTAAATTAGAGGCTCCATTGCACTAATATAATCATTGTGCACAAACCCTAAATAGAGAGCTGCAATGTTGTGAATGGAAATTCTAAAACCTACTTCTATACCAGCTCAAGTCTTGTCCCTAGTTGTGAAAAAAAACCCTCAGCAATTCCTTGAACATACCAGATTTGTGATTGTGCAAGTAACCACAAATTTGGTCACTTATTACTTTGAACACATTTTTAATGGATGTGTGCAAAATTGCTCTCAAACCTGTCTTTTGAAATTATCTGAAAAAGGGATACATCAGTGCTGTGTATAAGCAGTTTTTGTGAGACATATGTTAACAAATTAGATGAGCTCCTTAAAAACTCTGTGAACTATCAATACTCTGAATGTGACATGTTAACAGACTATGCTTTTCTGGAGGGTAGTAAAGAAGCTGGATTTAATGTTTTGTTTCAAGACTTTAATAAAGTTGTTTCTTATGAGTGGAGAGATAAGAGGGGCTGCTGCAAAAACAGACTGAGCTGCAAGAGACTTGAGTGGTTGACATCTTAATTGTTTTGCTAGTGCAGCAAGAGGCATAATGCTTTGTTTTATTTGTGGAATTGAGAGGGCTGTTGTGATGCAAAGCATTGACCTGAAAAAGAGCAAACGTGCTTTCCATTCCTTTTCACTGCAACACTCTGTATTAATTACAAAGATACATTGTCATTTTTCCCCTTTTTGATACTGTGACTTTCCAAGTAAAGAGAGTATCAAATTGTTTTAAGCATTTTGGCTCCTGTGGCTCCCTTGAAGTTAATGCTGTCTATAGATGTAGTGGGCTGCTTGCTAGATTTCTTTGCCTAGCATTTCACTTCTTTCTAGATCCTTTGACCCCAGGTAACCTTTGATCTCTTCTTAAAGGCAGGGCTGAAAGAAATGTGAACCAAAGGACTGATGGGTCACTGTCAATAGAGCCTTCAGACAATGTGCGAATTGCTTTAGCAGTCTCCAGTCCACTCTTGTTTCCTCTCCCTTTCTTTTCTTCCTAAACCAACACATGCAAATTGCCTCATGTGGATTTGCTATCACATTGCAGCACTTGGTGCCCAAGCGGCATTGGGATTTGTTGCAGATTTGTTTTTTTCAAACCCAGAACCAGGAAAACTAAAAAGCATGCAGATAGGGCTTGGATCTTCTCCGTGGCTGAAACAATAAGACACCCAAATTTCTGCATGAAAAGGTAGGAAGAGTATTAGATGGTAGGATTCCACGTAGCCTTTGCAGCCTTTGTTAACACATTCTGTCCGTCTTTTCTTCCAAATAGTTCAAACTTTGTAGTAGGTTTTCTACATAATGTGACATTAGCTTGGCTTGTTTTTGCATTTGTGAAACTCTAGTGTGGTCTCAGATTTTTCTTTCATATTAGTCCTTTGAAATTTCAGTATAGGTAGGTATAGATAATATCCCAAACATATTCTTACATAATCTATGCGGAATTCCCCCCTATTTTTACAACATAATATTATGTGTGTTTAAACAGAAAGAAGTCTTATTTGTTTCAATCAGATTCAATCTTTTTCTAAAAAATGTATGTTAATTATATGTTAAACTTTCACTTTTTAAAAAATTGACTTGTGGTAGCTACTATCAATTATAGGGCTTTAAAGATGACTTCTTTGCATTTGGATACATTTTAAGGCATTATGCTTGTTTAATGTTTAAGTAACTTTTTATCAATGTTTATGTATAATAAAATACATACATTTAATGACTCCCTTATAAAAATTACTGTAGATTAGAATGGATGGAATTTATCTTGTATAAATGTACAGTACCATACACCAACATTTTATGGCAGATTCTAATAAATTTCTGAATTGCTTAAAGTACAAGTTTTTGTTTATGCCAGGAAACATTGCCTGGTTGCAAAAAAATGTGTATTACAGTGAGTGGCCTTTGAATATGTAGTGGTAGATGATCTGTATCTTTTCTTATTTTACACTCTGATATAATCAAACAATGTTAGTTGTTCCTGGGGATTGGGACAGTTACTTCTGACACTAAAACTAGTATTCTCATATAATGAGATATCTTCTTCCAGTGCCAATTACATTTGCTTTGTGTTGAGTAAATGTGTTTTAGAGGAGTGGGTGCAGTGTGTTGTGCTTTTGAAGGCTTTGGGTTCAAATTGTCATGGTTTTTAGAATGTGGACAACTTTTCAGATTGAGACAGCTATATGTCAGTGGGCCAAAGTGCTGCAAGACCTAAATGTCACTTCAGGATTCTTTGTGAATACTTGAAAAATAGATTCAACAGAAACATCAAAACTGTCTTCATTTGAAAGAAATATTCCCCTTTTTCTAAATACGTAAGAGGATTACATTTTCTTTACAAAATGAAATAAGCCATAGCAGTCCACTTGAGGGCAGAAGGTTACAGAGAATGATCGAAGACTGCAAGCAAATCAGAAACAAGCTAATCAGATTTCAAGTTTGCAAAGAGTTTTTATTAATATTCTCTTATAGGACCATTGATTTTGACATGGTCTTATAAAAGATCCTCTCAAGAACATTTGCAAGAAGTTTATTGAACTTCATTTAACTGGAAGGTTTTCAAAACAATCTTCTTGTGTCTCAGCTTGATAAACATGATCATCTGAAGATGAAGCTGCTGACCATTATTTCGTGTCAAAAGCATTGCATAAATGTTGTAAAGAAGATTAGCCATTTACAAGAAACGTTGCCCAGGGGATGCCTGGCTGTATTTACTTAGTTTTCAAGGAGGCTCTTTCCGTGCCCCTCCAGCTGCTGATAAAAGCACCACTTTTTTACGTGATTGAAAATTTTGGTGAAAATCTTTTACAGATAATCCATTATCTGTAAATGATAATTTTTGAAATACTAGTATCTAGATGTTTGCTTTCAATTTCTGACTTTTAGATTTTACTTTTAATTTTGTCCTAAGTTTCTAGTGTGAAGAATAATTCAAAAGCTCAGACATCTCCTTCAAAAGTGAACCGCCGCTCAATGCAGTCTCCACAAAAATCAGCTCCCCCAGCTCCTGTCATTGCACCAAGAGGCAGGAAACCTAGTCGTGGAAAACCAACACCTCCATCTACAGCCCTTAGGAAAGGCAGATCTCCTAAAAATATCCCTGTGACAAAAAACGCATCTCATAAGGAAAACTTCAAAAAAAGGAAACAAGGCTTAAAACCTGGAAGGAAGGTTAGTGGTTCTGTTTACCTTCACATTCAATGGCAGAAGTTTTAAATGTCTGCCTAGCTAATGTAGTTTTTAAATGGCTTTATGTCAGTTTATTTCTTTCTATTCTTAACATGTATTTTGTGAAAACTGTTTACTAACCACATACAAAAATACTACTTTACTACAGGAATGGGAATCATGGATCCCCACTAGAGAGAGAGAGAGAGAGAGAGAGAACGAACACACACACACACACACACAATATATATCTCAGTATTATTCAGCATGGTCTATGGGCTTTGGTGACGAGGGTTGTGGTCCAAGAATATCAGGGCTAGTAAATGATTTAAATGTTTGCTTTACTGGATCTGTTTAGAAAAAGCATCCTTGGGTTCAAGCTAACTTCACTAATTAGATTATTAATGTACTTCTGTGTACTTAGAAGTAAGGTCCACATAATACAATGAGATTCCCGTCGAAATGTATATAGGATTATAATTTGGCAAATGTATGTCTGCCCAAGGGCTGTCACAAAGAGAATGGTAATGAAACCTAAACTTGACACCTGCCATTGCTGTTCATGTTTGTTTAAGCAACTTGTCATATATTGGAGAAGTGTGGCACTGTTGATGTGGCTGACTGCAAGTAAGGCTTTTGACATAAGCACTGTAATAGAGCACTGATGCAATGAAGCCATCTTGTGATAGTGGATCTTATGGATGTTCTCATGTGGTGAGATTATGACTTTGTCTCTTTTTCTCTGAAAGTTTATACATTCTTCTGATGCATTCTACATATATGAAAGAGAGAGACAAAGAGAGTTTAGCTTCCTAGCAGAACACAATTTCAACCTGGTCTTGCAGAAAAGTTAGTTACTTTCTTTGTTTCAAACAGAAAAAAATCTTAGCAGTGCAAACTCCAGTATTTTCTCCTACCCTTACTTCTGCAAAGGTGGACAGTAGCACACCTCAGCTACATAAAGATGGGCCTGGTATCACTGGTGCAATGGCTGCAGTCATTTCTACAGGTAAGATTTTATGTTAAGAAAAGATTTGCCTAGGGGCATAGCCTGATGATTCCAGAACTACTATTTTAAAGGTACTTGGGATTTCCAAATGGAAGGCAATATTTAAACAAAGCAGAGTTGCAAAGATAACTACATACACATCCTCTTTTAAATAGTATTTTGAAACAAATTGGAAGAAAGTGTATTATGATCCCAGATACCTTTGAAAATAAGATAACATGAAGTAGCCCTTTTATTTCATGTACTGAATGCCCATTGCACTAACATATGTGTTATGTGCTTAGCTCTTAGAAATGAAACTGGTTATGTAGGGTAATTTATATCTAAAGATTTGTATTGAGGAGTTGCTTTGTGGGATGCCCTCTTCACATAATATATCTCCAAACCAAATGAGGGGGGAGGAGGGAAGATCCTTTCCTTTATATCTCTCCACTGTCACCAATTCAGGCCAGTAACTTATACCAGTTCTCTTCTGAAATCTGCTGGGACTCCTCTGGGTTTCTCTTTAAATCTTATTCAATGTTTTGTGACACAATCTTCACACACAACTCTACATTAACTGAGTTTATTTATAGATGTCTTGCACAAAAGCTTGTTGGTTACATTTGTATATTAGCGTCTTAGTTGAATATAACATTGTTTCATGACAACTCTCATCCTTACGACTTTTTACACATAGGAAGATTCACTTGTTAACCATATAATAGCAAACTCTCAACTGTTCTCCACTCACTATCCTGACTATTTCCTTAAATACTCTTACTTAACTTATTCTCTGACCTATATTCATGGATTCCTAACTTATCCTCATCTAACGGCTTTTCTTCCCTCTCTATAACTGACTTCTTTTCTCTCTCAAAATGTTCAGGATTTTTTTTCAACTGTCATCCTTAACTCCCTCCTTTTTAAATATGACCAATCAGATTCCCTTATGTAAATTAGCTCCATCCCTACTACTACTACCCCTTTAAGAATCACAGAATGGCTGGTCCCATTCCAACCCTGCAATATAGGCCATGTTCTAACATTAACTTTTACTTTTAAATTCTATCCCATAACCAGTAGTTCGCTACACTTTGTTATTGGAAAATAGATGTATAAGCCATGCTCAGCAATGCCAGCAGCATTTGGCTTCAGTTTCTTGTAAAATATTAGTTTACTGGTCTTATGAGGGCTCGGAATCCCTTGCCCCCTGTGCAGAAGTCATTGTTATTATGTTTGTGTTTAACTGTTAGAGTATGTATTTGTGTTTGTAACAGTAGCTAAAACTGGAGTCATCTGGTTTGAATCCACAGTAAGTGTTGCCAAGGAGACGAGGCTGGCTAGCTCATGAAAGGGAGAAGTGGGCGGAGCCAAGTAGGAAAAGTTATGTGCGTTTTTAAAAAAAGCAGCAGAGAGAGGCTTGGAAAGGCCTGAGAGAGAGGCTTGTGTGTGAGCGGCTGGTGTTTTTCAGTCTAGGAGGGCTGAAGAAAGAAACCTGGCCAGATTCTTTAGTCAAAGAAGACTAAAAGGAAGCTTCGTTAAGAGCCCTAGTTAAGGAAGGGCTGGAGATCAGAGATTTGATCGAAGGAAGATCAAATTGAAAGGCTATTTATAGTAGTGAAACATTATTCACTAGAGGGCTTCACCTCAGTGAAAGTTAGTCACAAGCTGTGTTATCTGGAAGAGTGGACTGTATTATAAACCACGTGATAGTTAAAGTTCCATAAGTTATTTAACAGCCTGCAACCATAAGCTTTGTACACAATAAAGTTGTTATCTTTTGTTGAAAACGGTCTCATCTCAACTAATCTGCGTCTGTAGAGCCAGATCTCATCGGTGGTACCTCAAATACCTCACGTTGGTGGCAGTTACCTTAATTTACAAATAATAATTGGCCTCCTCCATAATATACTCTTCTACACAATTGAGGCCTGAGTTAAATTCTCTCCATAACATCCACATCTGCACAATTGGTGGGATTAAAAAAGTGCCTGAGGTAAAATACCTCCATTATTAGGGTCTGCCATTGCCAACCTCAGCAACACACAAGCACCTCCTCGCAATTGGTGATAGCGGTGGGATCTTCAAAGCTAAAATCCCTATACCCTGTCCATTGTTGTGTTCGCATCTTCACACCCCCACACTGAGGAACTCTGAATTAGTCAAAGGATTGTGATGTCTTCTTTGATATTGCTGGTTGACTGAGCAATTTGTTGTTTCCTTGCCTGGACTACAGCAGAATCCTCTAGCACCATCAAAAATAGCGGTGGTGTTTTCCAGTCTGTTCTTAGGAGTGTTTGCATGGCATAGTATTGTCTCCTTTCCATTCTTTACTTTTTTTGTCCCCTTTGACTCTTAAGAATCATTCCACTTTCCCATTACTCTCTTTTATTGCTTTCTTGATTTTTATGTGGTTGATATCTGACCATAATTCCTGTTTCACTATTCTGCATATCCACTGTCTAGTTTTAATAACTACTTGTATATGGTTTTTAGCTTAGATTTTAAAATTTGTTGAAGTTTGAAGTATATAACCCCTTGGGTTTGATGTGGATGTGCAGGACAGGGCCCCTTTGTTATGATCTGGTCATTGACCATAATAAAGTTTACTTACTACTTACTTACTGTCTAATTATATTTATCTCTCTTCACCCTAGTCACACCTTATTTTGTTTTAGTATAGCCATTTCATTTATTTGTTACTCTTTTTGGACCATACATTTTAGCACATGTCCCCATTCTCTGATACTCCTTTCCCCCCCGCTTAGTTCCAGTCTTTTCTCATTTTCTTTTCCTTTCTCCTGGCTGTAGCCTAGCCCATTCTCTTATTCCTCTTATGAGAGTATATGTATACTAGGGCTGGGCAGTTTCGTTTCGTTAATTCGTAATTCGTTAAAAAATTCGTTAATTTTTCAATTACAAAACGATAACGAACCAGTCTGGAGCAATTTTTTTAAAAAACGAATTTTTAAATCGTTTCGTAAATGTTTTGTATTTCGTTATTGTATTCGTTTCGTTATCGTTTTGAGGTCGTTTCGTTATTATTTCCGCATGTCTGGGGCAAGTTTTATAGTTGTTTTTGGTTTTCTAAGGGGTTTTATAGTTGTTTTTGGTTTAATTAAGCTTCAGAAGTTCCCCCTGTCCCATTTGGAGGTTTTTTAGCGTATTGCGCGGTCGCGTCCGCCATTAACGAATCGATTCGTTATTGTTTCGGAAATCGATTCGTTATTGTTTTGTAATTTTTTTCACATTTACGAAATTTCGTAAATATCAAACTTTTTTAAAGGAAAATTTTGTAATTATTTTAAATAACGAAACGCAAAAAACCCCCAAAAAACGAATCGATTTTAGAAACAAATTTTTCTGTTGTTACCCAGGCCTAATGTATACATATATACATTCATTCATTGGCATTATATCAATGGACCCCCCAGTGTGGGTATTCATCATGAATATAAAGCCACAGTAATACCCAAACTAAATATTTAAAGCAAGAGTTTCAGCTTCATCTCAAACAGTGATTTATCACTATAGTATCTTTCCCGAACCAGCTTTTTATTCCTAATTGGAAGGGTTGTAAGACATTGCTTTTAATGGTTAAACTCACTCTCACTGCATATGTTGACTTGGTCAAAAAACCTTTCATCAATGTGCCTCACTCACATATGGGGAAAAGGGTCTTAATCTGCTTTTGGGGAATTATTATGAATACATACATAAAGTTTTTTTAATTTTGTGAAAGTTTTTTAATTATGTGAAAGACAGAATGAAACAAGGGGTTGGGTTAGAGGTGCAAGGGGCATGAAAATGTAATTCAACAAGTACAATGAGACTTGTGTTGATAATGTCCAGGAATATGAAAATCTGGGAATCCTCCACTGAGGTCTGGAACATAAGGCTAGCAAGACCAGCTTCTTTGGGCAGCAGTGGATTTTATAAACATAACATTTTTGATCCCCTTCAGTTATCAAGCACTGCCTAAAGTTTGAATCACTATAAAGATATTGAGATAGATGTACTTGTGTAGTATATCAGCATGGTGTAGTAGTTTGAGTTGAGCTGGATTACGACTCTTGAGAACAGGGTTTGCATCCCTGCTCTGCCATGAAACCAACCTCAGATGAAGGCAGTGGCAAACCTTTTCTGAACAAATCTTGGCAAATAAATCCTGTGATAGGCTCATCTTAGGATCACTAGTAGTCAGAAATTACTTGAAGGCACACAGCAACAATAAATAGTACTTGTGTAACAGATATCCAAATGCAAAAGGGCTGGACAAACCTAGTTGTTTTCTGAATGAGAACCTTGTAAAGCAAAAAATATATTTCTTGTCACTATAGAGTACAATATTTCAAAGCAATTAAAACAGACCTTTGTTTCTTTCTTTCAGTTTGTGTCTATGTTAATAAACATGGAAATTCTGGCCCTCACCTGGACAAAAAGAAGGTACAGCTGCTGCCAGATCACTTTGGACCGGGTCCCGTGAATGTGGTGCTTCAGCAAGCTGTGCAAGCCTGTGTAGATTGTGCTCATCAATCAAAAAATGTTTTTGGCTTACTCAAGTCAGGACATCATGCTGGAGAGATGATCACTGGTATATTGTTTTATTTATTTATGGATCTACATTGTGTCCTTTTTAAATTTTTTACAAAGGATGTATTCACATTTAGCTAGGCCAGATTTATTTGCTTATGAACTGTATGATGCTACTTTGGCCTTTCTTCAGGCCTGTTCGGGGGCAACACACCCGGAGGTCATGCTTGGATGTTCCAGGAAGCCTTCAGTTTCCAAGTTCTTGTGGTTTCCTCAACAAGAATGGAGAACAAATAAACTCTGTGCACTGTTCATTCACAATAAATAAAAGGTGGTAGAAAGATGCAGGGGGTCTATTTTTCATTCCTGAGGTCCTTTTGGGGGGCTGCACCACACTTTTCATACGAAGGTGGAAACACACATATTTTCTAGTAAAGAAATTGTCCTTTGGTCAAAATGCATATATATGACTGATGCAGTGTTCATTTATCAGGAGTACAGTGCTCTATTTTAAATTAACAAAACAGTTTGTGACTCTCAGGGTCATCAAAATGGCATTGAGAACTCACAAGTGGCCTGTAGGTCACATCATTCCCACCACTCCAGTAGAACAAGACAAGCCAGCAATTCTGACCTATTGTGCTGTGTAAGCATCAAAAGAACTCAAAGATTACTAATAGTGAAATGCAATCAAATGACATCACAAATGAATATGCTGAAACAGTATAATAAAAATAGAAACAAATAGTAGAATTGGTGCAACATATCTGGAGCCAGTTATTAGCATATTTGCAAACATTGAACAAGGGGTCAAGGAGATGAATAAGCAAGAGCAGTAATTTGGATTAAACAATTTTGAGGAAAAATCAAGATGGGGGTGGGTGGTTAATGTATTGCAATAGATCGTTAATAGGACAGAAGATTGTATTTTTATGTGAAATTATGCTTATAAAAGAAATAGAATTCAAGGAATCCCACACACAACAAGAGAATGTTCTGGCACATTTAATTGAAGAGAAAATATTGACAGTTTCTTTTTTTATTCTCTTTACCTCTTTCTGCTGCCTTCCCCATCCACTTACACAGAGCAGTTTTACAAAAATAGTATGAAAGGGGTGGCTTTTTCCTATATTCTCTTTTCCCCCTTGTGCAGGCATGTATAGATGTGTAGACATGCACATGCACACCGCAGATCCAACTTAGACCATGCAGGAGAGAGGTGTAAAGGGAATGAAAAGAAGGTTTTCAGAGTAGAAAGTATTAGTTTGTTTCTGTTTTTGTTTTTGTTTTTTTAAAAAAAACTTTTAGGAACAAAAAGGCTCAGAAATTCAGGGAGAAGAAGCCAGAACTGTGTTTCTTCTCCCTGAATGCTTTGTCTTGATATTGGAAACAAAAGTGGCAATTGAGGGAATAAAAACCTTTTCCTCCCAATATTTTTGGTCAAACTGGATAATTTCTTAGGTGAAATCCCTCCAGTTAACCTGTTTTGGTTCCTGCTGAATAGGTTCATAAACTGAACTGTCTCTGGTTCTCTTTTCCTATGTCCTCTTAATAAAACTTTAAACTCTTCTTCAAATATCAGCACTACAAACATCAGTGTTGCTTTTACTTCCCATCTAGCTTTGTAGCAACGGTGCAGGTAAATTATTTCTGTAGATGCTATATTTGTCACTATTTTGCTATCTTCAGAACTTAAGGTAGCACATAAAATTGGTTGCTGTAATTTAGAATCTTTATATTAGTACCAGATGGGGGTAAGGTCTATGTAGTATGTGGATTTAATCGAATCTCACAGCCTTCCTTGTATCTCAATATTAACAACTAAAGCTGTGACTTGCATCTTATGAAAAACCACTAATCTTTGTTCATATCTTCTGCATACATTTGCACACACAACAGGAGCTATGAATCTGAGAACAAAAAAGTTAACTACGAGTAGTGTTTCATTTTGCATAAGATATTCATGGCACTATGAAATAAGGGAGATATAAACCAGAAATTCTGCCTTCTATATCTGGTTGGAATACAATATGTTACAGTATATTTTCTTTTGTCATAGGTAGAAATGAGTCTGTCCTGTCTAAGTCATTTATGTATGTATGTATGTATGTATGTATTATATCAATATATAATACGGTTTAAAATATTTTAGAATAAAAATGTAGGAATATGAGATGAAGCGTTAAAGCTGATGTCTTCAAAACTGTAATTACAAATCATTAATTGTAATTCCCAATTACACGTGAATAAACATGTTTGTGCTCATGGCGTTCACTATTCACTTTGATTGAGGCAGGTATGGGAAACAGAAATGTCGTTGGCCTCTAGTTCCCAGTATCCCTCACTACTTATGGCTTTAGCTGAGGCTGAAAGGTGTTTGTTATAGTTGAGCAGCTTTTTGTGGTTACTTTTGTTTTCTTTCACCCCTAAAAAACTGAAGAGAAATGAGAGCAGGAAAGGTAGTGACAAGGCTACAAAAGAGTTACTACATTCTGATTATAAAAAGTGCAACACATTTTGGGAGGCATGTCAAAGATGACCAAAGGGCCTGATGTGAAATGTACAGCCCTAAAGCAAAATATGCTTTGGGAAATTCAAGGAACATACTGTTTTTGTTGATTCCTTTGTTTCGGCCAAAGGGTGATCACATGTTAAGTTTTAGGCACTTGTGTTATATCATATTATTAGAGTGATGTTTGATATTCTTTATCAACAGCATCCTTTGATGGAGAAAAGCATGCCATCAGTCTTCCTTCTGTAAACAGTGCGTCATTTGTCCTGCGCTTTTTGGAGAAACTCTGCCACAGCCTACAATGTGATAATCTTTTTAGTAGCCAGCCCTTTAGTCCTTATATGGGAAGTGCACATAGTCCCACTGAATATGATAGAAACAAGACAGGTAATGCTCTACTATTTTTATTTCCTTTTCTTATTCCAACTTGTTCTTGCAGCATTTCTCAATTGTATATATATTTTAAGTACAATATCTATTTCATTATATTTCTATACCATAGAGATATGAACATAATTTAAAAGAGCATAATTTTGGAAGAAGACAAGTTTTTACGATGTGAAATTTCTGCAGTATTATATATGGTACCCTAAATAGATTAAACAACAAAGTTGTGCTGCCTTAAAATTGCTAAGTTTTATTTTACATAAATTTTTGTGGACAGGAGTCTGCTTTAACAGATGCCTGATAATGTGTCTAATGAAGAGGACTGCTGTCCATGAAAGCTTGCACCAAATAAAATGTAGTGTGTGTGAGAGAGCTACATATATTTATGAACACACCACAAAACATTTTGCACAATTTTTGCCATTTTAAATGTTCAAGAGAGATGCCTTTTCCTGTATTTTGAGGGTGCTCCCTACTAACCCCTATCACAGCTCTCCCAACTCATAAGGTTTCCCCAATCTTCTATATAGGAGTTTTAGAGTACTGGAGAGGTTGTCATGGCAAGATGAAGTAGGGAAGTTTGCTTCCACCATGTCAGTTGCATTTACCTAAATATGGATTTTGCTCATTTGGGCCAAAAGCCTATTAGTGATGTACACGTGTGTTAAGTGCAGCTTATACATAATAAGTCCGTTTTGCGATGGGGTGTACAGAGTGCTATTCCCTTTGGAATCTGTTTCTTGCTGTCTGGTAGCTGCCAAGGCCCTTGAGTCCACTTCTGTTGTTGTTAGCTGATGCAAATGGGTGTCATAATTCATCCTCTGAAGATTCAGAAAAAGGAGAGATTGTCAGGAAACTATAATTCCTGATGATAGCAGAGTCTGAGGAGGACGGAGGCCAGACTTCCTAGCAGGAGGTTCCAGATGCTGAAGACATATTCACATCATTTATAGAGTATCAAAGGGACAAGGAAAAATTACATGACTCAGCAGTTGTCAAATAGGAGATGCTGAGTCAACAAGCACCTGACATCATGAGATGACTGCCTATAAATCTCCCTAGATACCAAAATAATTGAGCCTGTTGAACTTTGGGAATATTGTGAGTGGATTGTTTGATGAGAGAAGATAATTACTGACAAAATTTGGAAGACAGCAGGAAATGAGAAATGCTACATTGTAGGTGGATTGACTCAATCAAGGAAACCACAGCCCTCAGATGGTAAGATCCTAAAAGCTGTTAAATAACAGGGTATCCTGTTATTCATAGGATCACTATATGTTACAGGCAACTTGATGGCAGTTAATCAGTATATATTACTTCTTCCATAATACTTTGATAAAATACTGTTAATATCATCTTTGAAACTTACCAGTTTTACAGTTCTGCTATGTATCCTTTATCATTGTAATTCATTTTGTAAAACAATATACTTTTAGAAACAGATGTTTTTCCACTCTTCTGTCCCATACCAAACTCTAAAAACAATGTTATTTTTTCAAAAATAACTTGGCATTTGTGTATTGTCTCCTGGTACTTGTTGTTCATTCGTTCAGTCGTCTCCGACTCTTCGTGACCTCATGGACCAGCCCACGCCAGAGCTCCCTGTCGGCCGTCACCACCCCTAGCTCCTTCAAGGTCAGTCCAGTCACTCCTGGTACTTAGAGCCCTCTTAATGTATCACTCATTATTTCTGTATTTGCATACCATTGTTTCAGTATTGTGGTGTGACTCATAGAATCATAAACTGGAACTACTATTGCAGTTATGGATGCATATTCACAGTCTACATATTCATAATTGTGACACTATTGTGATGATCATAAAAGTCTTCCAACTTTTGTCTACTGGGTTGCAACTTCTGTGAGCAATGAAGATATGTTCTTGTTTCTATCAGTCACAGCATGGTGGCATCCATCCCCCTGCCCCCAGCAGTCTGGTGAGAGAAGACTGTGAGAGGGATGCTGCTTTTGGTTGTCACACCTCAGATCCCTGAAGGGAGGGAGTCATGACAGATCTAGTATCTTTGCCAGAAAATTGAAAGTGACTGCAAGGATCATTTAGTATAACCCCAAATATGCAGGAATGCACAACTAAATTCATCAATTCTCTTGAAAGAACTCCCAAGAAGGGGAGTTTATTATGCATCAAAGCAGTCTGTTGTGTTGTGTTGTGTTGTGTTGTCAAATGCTTTCATGGCCAAAATCACTGGGTTGCTGTGAGTTTTCTGGGCTGTATAGCCATGTTCCAGAAGCATTCTCCTGACATTTCTTCTGCGTGGTACTGTGAAATCCACACCTGTGGTATTTCCCTGCGTCCACACAGCTGACTCGGATCTTTCTTGAAAGCTTTTCCTAATTAGGGACTCCAGCCCCGCCCATCTACTCCTAATAAAGCCAGGCAGCGGGGCTTGGAGCCTTAGTTCCTTTTCTCCGTGAAAGCAGCAACAACTCGGTGTTCTCTCCTAAAACAACTATTGGTTTGACTCAAGGACTCCAGTTTGACCACTCTAACAGACAGCAATTCCAACTTGTGTTCTGGGACCTTTGTTTATCCTATTCAGGCATTTTCTTCAACTTTGAAATGTATGGCTTATGGGCGGAAGTTGCTCCAGGGTGACTCCCACCCCCTTTGTGTTTCTTGCTAGTGGGAGGACAAACCCACTTCCTCCCTCTGAATAAATGAAAAAAAGTGCCGTGTCCTCTGAGGCGCAGGCTTTTTTGCCTTTGGCAATGGGCAGTAACTTACTTTCTTTT